TGGAGCGTGGTTGACCTGAGGCCGCAGTTGGCCAGTCTTGCCAAGAGGTGATCATGGGATACCAGATCGAAGTCTTTTTGGAAGTCAAGATATATGACATCAATCTCCTCTCCCTTGTCCAGGTGATGGGTCACCTGAGCATAAAAGGAAATGAGATTGGTCAAGCACGACCTACCCGCAACAAACCCATGCTGGCTATCCCTCGGGATGTTGCCATTGGCCAGTCTGTTGAGGATGGCCTCTTTGATTTTTTCCTAAGACCTTCCCTGGGATAGAGGTCAGGCTGATGGGTCTGTAGTTTGCTGGATCCACTTTCCTCTCTTTCTTGAAGATAGGCACCCCATTGGCCTTCTTCCAGTCGTTGGGCACTTCACCAGAGCGCCAGGAGTTCTCAAAGATCCGTGCCAGGGGCTGGGCTATGATGCTCGCCAGCTCCTTGAGTACCCTGGGGTGAAGATTGTCAGGGCCAGCTGACTTGACGGTGTCCAGCCTCTCAAGGTGTTCCTTCACGAGGTCAGCATTGATGGAGGGCAAGGGATCTCCCGCACCCGGGGCTCGCTGTCCCGTAATGGGCAGAGGCAACCCTTGGGACCGATGAAAGACCAATGCAAAGTACCCATTTAGTAGATTGGCTTTTTCCTGGGCGTCGGTTGTCAGTTGTCCCTTCTGGTTTAGCAGGGGTCCAATGTTGCCCTTGCTCCCCACGTATCTAAAAAAGGACTTCTTATTGTCCTTGATACTTGTAGCCAGTTGGAGCTCAGTTGCAGCCTTGGCTTTCTTGGTTCACCCCCTGCAGGTCCGGACCATTGTAGAATATTCCTCCTTGGAGGTGGATCCCATCCTCCATTCTTCATAGGTCTTACTTTTTAGCCGCAGGAGGTCCGCTAGTTCCCTGGAGAGCCAAGGGGGCTGCTGTGCCCTTTTGCTGCCTTTCCTTCGAGACAGAATGGCATTAGTTTGTGCATCAAGGATCGCTCCCTTGAGGAGCAACCACTCTTCCTGAACTCCCCTCCCCTTTGGGTCATGGTCCCTTAAGGCCTCACCGACAAGTCTCCTGAACTTGTCAAAGTCAGCTTTTCTGAAGCCGAGGACTTCTGTATTGCTGACTGTCTTGCCAGCTTTACAGCAGATGGTGAAGGTAATCAGCTCGTGATTGATGGGAAGCTGGGTGACAGCAATTGTTAAGTTGCCGATTTAGGTCATCCCCGGTTGCCAGTACCAGTCGAACAGAGCTTTACCTCTAATTGGCCTGTAGACCTCTTGTGTCAGACAGGGCATCCACACGTGAGAGGAAGCTTGATTCTATGGGGGGAAAATTGCAATTGGATTATTAAACTTTAATATGTGGAAGTAAATGCTTGGTGGCATGGATAACATCATTGCTGATCCTTCAAGTAAGGAGAAGTTCTATTTGCTGTGCATTTATATAAACTCTTTTTACATGGAAAAGAATCATGTGACTTTCTGCTGTGGTTTGCAGCATTTTATGCTTGTGACAGTAGCAGGATGCTTGGCATTTGGAAGAAGCGTTCATTGTTATGACGACCCAATTAGCCTAATTTTGATTCCTGACAAATTAGAAGTCTGACAGTTTTCCAAGTGTGGAGGGATTCTTCCTAAAGAGATGGGTTTGTAATGTACAAAGGTGACCAAGGATAGGTCAGTGTGGTATTTAACTTGTCCTTTCTTGCTTCAATGTATAGAAAGGAGAATCATAAATTGGGGCAGGGTTATATAGGCCTTGTTATTCAGCATATTTACAGTATGTATAGGGCCTTAATACCACTGCGTGATTCTCTTGACCTCATAAACTACTTTAGTGGTATTCTACTTACGCATTACTTATGATGAGATAGCAGCATCCTTTTATCTAAACCCCTTGATGTATGAGTAGTTAGAGGAGCAAAAAGGGCATTTCTTCTTATTCGTGCTGCAGCATGTCTCTACAACTCCTGTGGAGTCTTCAGGCCCAGTATAGGACTGTAAAATGTTTATTTAAATGAAGACCACAGACTCAAGGCTTAAACGCACAAATCTAGCCAGCACTTACATCAAAGGCATTAAGATGGAAATGAAATTCTTCTATAGCAGCAGGTAGGAGTGATTTCAGAAGCCTTTGGCTGGTCATAATATAAAATTTGTTTTTTAAGCCCAATTTCTGCCCTGTGCACAGAAGTACCATAAGTCTCAGTGAACTTCCATCTTTGAAGTGGCAACCATGGAATTCCCTGAAGAAAGTATCACTGAGTGCTGATATTGGATACCGAAAGGATAAAACAGCCTCCTGTCACTCACTGAAGTGTGAATGTGCTTCCATGAACTTATAAATCTGACTAGCAGAAGTTTCAGCCCTACCTTAGCTATGATCGTGTATTTTGTTAACTTGGGTGTTTTGTAAGATGCTGGTCATCTTAATTTTTGAGAAACAAATGTTTTCAGTTTTTATTTGGAGAAATTTACTACTTTTTCCCTTTGCTTAGTGATCTCTCGTGCTGAGGTTGAGGGTTTGTTTATTTTTAATGTGTGCTCTCTTCGTGGGATAGGTTAACACCAACTAAAATGGGTCAGCACTCTTGGCTTAGCTATACCATATATTTTTACCAGTAGCAGCTGATCAGATATGGGTTCTTGGCTATTTTGTGACCTGTCTTTTCTGAGTATATGGTAAGTTAAGAAGATGATGCACCTTTATTTATTTTCTATCTCTAACATGAGTACCGCTGTGGTCTATAAAGTAATAGTATTTCATAACTACCAAACTTTTATTTTGTGTTAAGAATGTTTTTTCAGTTATGTAACAGAAGTCTGGTGATAAAAGGCACTTTATCAGTAAACTGTATCAGCTTAGCATCTTTGGGATGACCCTGGTTGTTCCAGCAAGATTGTTTTGTGCTGCTTTAACTTGTTTTGTGAGTAGCATTGATTCACTGAAGCATTTCAAAGCACTATCTGCCAGCACAATTGCATTGAAAGCCAGCATGTCTATGGCACAGCTGTTTTACTCGGGGGGAGGGGGGATTGTATCCTTGATGGACATAGTTCTATATCTGCAGACATATAACTAGCTTGGCTTTTGGATTTTGCTTGACAGTATATTTCAGTAGGAAAATAACTGAGATGTGTAAACTTCAAGTTGGAGCAAAGATTGAATGTATGGCAGAATTTCAGATACAGGTACTTTTGTTCTGGTGGCATCAACATATTACCAAATTTGGTGTATGGCGAGTTGAAATTTTTTTTCCTAGACGTTTCTCAGCCATGCTCCAGGGTGAGCGAGAACCTGATGTGTAAGAATACTGAAGCTGTAAGGTCAGGCCTGTAGCACTTGTATACTAGTGTAGTTTGGTTTACTGTGGTGGGACTACATCAGCTGAAAATCTGGCCTGTAATTTTTTGCACATGGTATTTCTTACAATGATGGCATCTTCAGTGGAAGGTTTTTACTGTCAAGAGGTCTGATAGGACACTTCCCTAAGCAGTAGCCTGGGAAAGAAAAGTTTCCGAACTGTGAAGAAAACAATATATTAATTTCTCATTTTTTTTTTTTTTTTTTTTTTAAATGTGAAGCTAAGAAGAACCTGATCTGCCTTAAAAAAAAAAAAAAAAAAAAAAAAAGCTGAATTGTTCAGACATTTTTACAGTCTATAAAGGGACAGGTGGCTGATGTCCATATAGGATTTAATAAGGATCTGGAGCTTCTGAAAACCAGCAAAATGCCACTTTTTTTCCTTTTTTTTTTTTTTATTTCTTCAGAGCTCCGTTGTACCCCGGGGCAGTTTGCTTGTCGCAGTGGTACCATCCAGTGCATCCCTTTGAACTGGCAGTGTGATGGATGGCCCACCTGTGAGGATGAGAGTGATGAAGTTGACTGTCCAGGTAAGTAGAACAACAGCTGTTCTCTGAGCTGTCACTCTGTGCAAGAGTGCGGCACTGATGCCTGTCTGAGTCTGGCTTCATAGTTACTTGGTAGTATGTTTCCCTTATAATGTTTCCTATATATATGTATATTTGCTGTGCAAGTTAAAAACAAAGCAAAGTCAAGTCCAGCGTGTGTGTGTGTGTACACACACAAACATTGCCAGCAATTTTCTCATGGATCTAGATTCTTGCAGTTCATGGCAGGCTGTCCTAGATGTGAAATAAGTTTGGAGTTCTAATGCTTAAGGACAGGCTTCTTTTCAGGAAAAAAAAATGCCACTACAGTCGGGTCAAACTTTTAGATTTGTCTGCAGCTAAATTCTGAATTAGCCTGTTACCCTTCTGTTACCCAGACTGAGTTGAGTCACGTTGTCAAACTGCTCAGGGGAACTTGTCATCTTGCTGCCTGTGATGGATCAGTTCTCTGCATAAACAAAGGATTCATTCTGAGAGACAATAAACCTCACGTTTGGCCCTACTGTATTCAGACGGAGCCATATTTTTCAAGAGCTTGGCACTTGAGCAACTTTTCTTCCCTTTGATTGGTATTGCTGGGTGATGAGCTCTTTTGAAAATCAGGTTTCATTTGGAAAACTGACTAATACAGGTCTTAATGGATACTTCTACAGGGGAAAAGTCGCAGAATTTTCTGTTGGAATAGTGAGGCAGAAATTTGGAAGTAAGGTTTAGAAATACATTTGTAGAATGAACTCAGTTGAAGCCTGTCTCTGGGATTTTGCTTAAGTCTTGCACACTTCAGGGTTTTTTTTCTCAGTTTACTGATTCAGCTCTGTAGCTGATGAAGTGAGCTGCTTCTTATCTGCTCAGCTGTGCTCTGGTATCTCAGTTTTGTAGAATTTATACTATTTCAAATATTGAAAAGTGTCATAGAAGTAGTCCCTCAAACTTGAGTTTGCTGTTTCTTATCTTCCATATCTGTAGAAAACACCTGATTTCTTTAGGCAAATGCAACATTAACAAACGTTGAATTTGGTTTTTGCCCACCTCTGCTGTCTTGAATAGTATATTCAGAGTTTCAGTGGCCTGTATCCACAGCCATTTTTGGAGGTTTTCGTGAAGTTGGTTTATGGAAGTTTCCAAGAGGGTAAAATCTGTTTTACTTCCTTCTGTGTACAGATACCATTTTTGGGTGAAACTTATTTCATTTTTATATTTGCCCTGTTGGCTTAAAATAAGTTCGAACAGTAAACCTGGTGCCTGTCTGCAGTGTAGTGGATTTCAGGCTGCTACATCCTATCAGTTCTGCAGCTTTGGGACTTTTCTTTGCCATCTGCATGGCACAAGCCAGAGGATTTTTGGCATAAATCAGAAGTCGTACTAACATGAAAAACAAGGGCATTAGGCTGCCAAGTGCTTCAGGCAGAGAAATCCCTTTGCCTCAACCTGCTTTAAAACTAGACCTACTTGGATCAGTGTCTGAAATGGCTGCATGGAGCCAATTGCAGCATCCTGGAGTCTTCAGGGGAATTTTTTCACTCTTCTCTAGGGAAGAAGAGTGAACAAGTAATGGAGATAAACGGATCACCTTGGAGTTGAACAGATA